GCTGAGCTCCCTTAAGTATTTCCTGTTCGCTCACTTTTTTGCCAAGGGGTTTAGAGACTGATATCTATGAGCTACACCGACCACTTTTATGTCATAAACGCACACATAAGCACATATGCATATGTAGTATAATGTGTGGATAGAAAAAAAGAAAAGAAAAGAAAGGTCCCAACAGTGCCCCCTAGTGACCTAAAGCGGATACATGCTTGGGCTTGTGTTGAGGCTTGTTGTTTACACCTACTGGTTTTCGGCGGAGGGTTACTGCGGATGTCAGCTGACCCAGCTGATAGACCGCTGCCAGCATGTTGCTGCTCAGTCAGGCTTCTTACAAAGGAGTGTCTTTCAGAGACTGATTTGTTGTTCTTGATTGTCCACATGGGAGATCTGCTCTTCTTTTTTGTGGTTTCTCTTTCGATTTTGAAAAAAAAAAAGAGCAATGCAACATTTCCTGTCAGGCCACATTCTGTGACATAACCTATGACGACATTATAGTTATCATGGTAACCAATTCTGGTTACTAATTCTGTCATCGTATATTCTTCTTATGTTCTTATGGAGACTATGTTTGGTCATCTAAAGTGATTGTGAAAACAACAACAAAAATACAATTATCACAAGCATTTGAATAATAATAATAATAATAATAATAATAATAATAATAATAATAATAATAATAATAATAATAATAATAACAACAACAACAACAACAACAACAACAATAATAATAATAATAATAATAATAATAATAATAATAATAATAATAATAATAATAATAATAATAATAATAATAAAGTTGGAAATATTAAAATCACAACCTGTGTTTCTGAGTTGGCAGAGAATAGTTTAAACCAGACATCTCAATCAAAACTTACAGAAACAAAAACAAATACAAAGAAGTATCGGCACCATCCATTTTAAGCAAAAATTGTTTTGAAAAGCCAAAGTCTACAATAAAATTTTCAATTATGTCTAAGCCGTATGTATATAAATACTCCCCTTCCCCACAGAAAAAAAGTATGTGCTTCAGATCAATAGACATGGCATGACCAATGCCATGAACATATCCTCAGACAGTAACATGACCTGGATGGCATAAAAATTCGTCCAGTATACCTCAGTTCAATAACAAAAAAAATAAAATATAATAATAATAATAATAATAATAATAATAATAATAATAATAATAATAATAATAATAATAATAATAATAATAATAATAATAATAATAATAATCTGGTAACTTTCTTGTTATAACAATACACAGCAGAGGATAAAGTCTGACTTACAGCGACAACAAAGAGTGAACAATCTAATAATACAGGAGCCAAAATACAATATTAGACTTGTGTTATGAAGTGTTACGTAAACAATGCACAAAATCTAATTATTGATAAAATACCTTAAACAGGATCTAAGCTAGCACAGCGTTTGCGTGCGTGTGAGTGTGGGAGAGAGGGAGAAAGAGACAGGGAGTACAGGAGGAGGGGCATTACTCAAGAGGGGCATTTTTTCAGAGCTGAAAACATTTGTTTTGTCTTTTTTTTTTAATCAGCTTTGAAAAATATCTTGTCTGTTTGTTTTAATAACGTTTGTTAAACAAAACGTTGCGCTGTGTGATGAAGTGGCTTCGTGTGTTCCATTTTGCTGCTGCTGCTCCTGCTGCTAGTGCTTCGCAGCACTTTCAAGCACGGAAATTATAATTTCTGGAAAAAAGTCTCTGTAAATTCGTACGAGCTTACTTCGGGATGTTTTTTTTTTTTTCCTGTGAAACATTGCTGGTGCAGTGGATCGTGTTCTGCTGTAGCCCCGGCGCTCCCTACAAAGAGAGAGAGAGAGGAAGGAATTGCCATTTAATGGATGCAATTTGGTTTCATCTTAGTTTAAAATAAGAGGGAAAATGCACACTCCATTGTTTAGCGGTGTAGATTTTTTATTTATTTTTTTAAAGCAGAGATGGCTCGCGTAAAACTTCATGAAGTCATGAATCTGTCCGCGTCACCGCATTTAGAACCTCACTTACAAATCCCGACAGGGCCCAAAATTTTGCCCCCGCTAATGGTCATAATTTATGACGTGTGGATCAACATGTGCTCATTGGGCAACAGCTTCCTGAGTGCTTAACGAGCATAAAGTCGAACACTTCCGGGCATTAATTGGACCGACCGGCCACGGCAAAGTGCTTATAGAGGAGCTTTACGTTGTTAGTATGAGAATAAGTCCTTATTAGAAGCGAGGAGAGGGGAAACAGGAGAAAAGCATCAGGGCTGAGAGTTTGCTTCCACCGCTGTGTTTTTAATCATAGCTGATAATGTAGGAATTTTAGAGGTCCCGTGTAGCTAATGCTGAGTTATGCTGTGACGTTTGAAAGTTGGCTCTGTCTGCGAGTGAGTAAAAGGAAAGCTTTAGGTTCTCTAATGTGGGGATGGGGGCTGGGGGGAGCGGGGGAGATATTAGGCCTGAAAAATTCATGAAGCGATTATAGCCTAGGGTAAAAAATAATAATATAAAAAACTATAATAATAATAATAATAATAATAATAATAATAATAATAATAATAATAATAATAATAATAATACCACGCCATATGCATAACCACAAATTATCAGAATATCTTAACGGATCTATCTTGTGAATTATAATCCGGGGAAAATGTATCAAAATTATAACAACATAATGGACTAGACACTTTCCTACTCTTAGACCCTCTTTTCACATTTGAGTTCACTCCAAATGTGCCTTTAGAAAGTAAATCTTGCAAACGTGGACCAAACGGCGTCCTCCCGCCGTCCATCCCAAATGCGTGCATGTGATTTGCCTCACGGGCCGCAATAAAACACTAAAACTCTTGGGAAAGAATGACCTTTCTGATTCTACACACTGACACAACCTCTGCTGCATTCCAGTCCGCACATTGCCTCCACTGTTCGAGCCCTTTAATTTACAGCCTTCGACTCCATGGACCGGCGTGTTTTTCCTGTTTGTGTATGAGCAACAATGAGACAGGGAGGTTGGAGGGGAGGAGGAGAGGAGAAGGTAACGTGTGTAGAAAAACCAAAATAGTCTCAGAAGGGATATTTATGATTTTTTTTTTTTTACATAGAACAATTTGATGGATTTTGTCATGTGTTGGAGATGGTAAATTTTGAGGTACATTTAGCATTTACTACACATTGAAAACAATAACATTTTCAGTAAGAGCCAGGGAATCTAAGAGACGCAATCAACAACATAAATCCTATATTGTCATTATGTGTTCACTAATAACGAAAATTTGCTTGCTAGCTTTTGGCAAACATCGTAATGTCTCTGGTTTTATGAGGGTGAAATATTATGATAGTTATACCAAGAAAGCACAGATTTTCCCTTACTGTGTAGTTTTTAGTCCTGCTGTTTTAATTGCGAGACAATAATTTAAACTTTATTTGGTAAATACATTCTCAAGAACAACAATTTCCGCAATTCCTAATTCCAACTGTATTTAACCTACAACCGAGATACTTTCATTTATGTTTAAAAAAAATACAAAGCAAAACAGGAATTGTGCTGCCTTGCATGGTGAGTTTTCTGTGTTTTGTTTGCCTCTCGTCTGTGTGATGCGCGGATGTCACATATGGTCATGAAAGGGTGAAGGGAAACTTTTATTGCACCGTCCACTTCCTCCTCTTTTGTTGTCTTCTCTTTTTTATGGTCTTTTTAGGATTGCACCCTGTCTTCCACAGAAAACAACAGAACAAACAGGGCTGCACATTTCAGGCAACGCGTATTTATTTTTATTGGATAAGATCAATGAGCTAAACCAGCATGGCCGCTCCAGCCAGAGCGACTGGGCTAAGGCAGACGTTTTCAATAGCCTTATCGATTATTTTATTGGTATCAATTATGGCTCGTTGCAAAACGGAGGGATAATGCGGATTGTCGTTTCAAGTGCATGCATGCAAGTTTTTCTTTTTTTTTATTTGTATATTTTCCATTTAGTTTAAAAGCATTTAAATTGGGGGTCAATGAGATGCTAGTCAGACATAATGCTCTCTTAAAAAATACTCCGAATGATAATAAAACAGAAAATAAGCATTTTATCTTGCGTTGGATTGCATTTTTTTAACAATTTAAAAGCAGTCCATTTTACCCTAAAATAGCTTGAAGTTTTTCTCAAAACACCCTTCGAGTAATTCTCAAAGGCATAATTTGCTGCAAAGATAATTATCAGGTAGTGTTTACTCTAGTGTGTGTGTGTGTGTGTGTGTGTGTGTGTGTGTGTGTGTGTAAGCGCGCGTGTGAGTGTGAGTGTGTGTTGCAGGAACGTCGAGGTTAGCTCAGAACAAAGCAAAAACTCAGAAACATCTGTATCAAGATTAAGACTCCTCGCTATACAAACTTCACATGAGGTCTGATACTTTATTTATCAATGGTTTCTGACGCACTGGGTACAGTTGGCCTGCAGGGGGGACGTGGTGTGCGAATAAATAAAATTTCTTCTTCTTTTTTCCATTTTAACGGAGAATTTATGCTCTCATATTAGCTTGTAAGAGCCTTTTTTTTGCCCGCTCCGTCCATATCAACGTCCATATCAAGTGTCTGTGCAATGCTTCTCATTTCTTACTTGAGTTTCCTGGGCTTTGCTGCAGAGAGACACTGTTGGTGAGCTGGAAAACGTCACTTGTTTTATTGCCCTCACAGAAGAGAGACCATAAACGCATTCTTACCCCGAGCACAATACCCTTCCTCTTTAGTTCACGTTTACAAAGGTGATCATATGCTTGGGATTTTATACCCAAAAGATTGATCAGGAGTTTATTAGGCATTTTTTTTAAGATGAGCAATAATGCTTAATATTTGTCTTGATATCTTGCAAGTTTTTTTTTCTTTTCTTTTTTTTTTTTTTAAATCACGGTAGTATTTTCTAATGTGCATCTTCTGAGCCTGATATAAAAATGAAATTATTCACATTTCCTGTTTCTCTTCCTGTATGGTGACCATGCATGGGTTTTTTTTTCTTTTCTGTTAAAAATGAGCCAAGTAGAAAATAAAATAAGAAAACCTTCCCGTCCAGTCAAGCTGGATGGTGCGCGTGTACTTTGCCGTCTGTGTTGTGTTTATCGGCATTTAGCACCAATGCTCCGCGCAGCTCTGAGCTAAAAGCTACAGTTTCGCCTCAACTTCCCGCTTCTCAATTGGTTGGGAATGGTCAGCTGACGTTGTCATATTGTCTCTCACTGAGCCAAGCCTCGGCTATTACACTCGAGCTTTTTTTTTTTTTTTTTTTTTTTCGCGTCTTAACCGGAGATTGGAAATTAATAATATTCAATCCTCAAAAGTAGCCCCGCGACCACGCAGGAGAGGCAGCAACTCGAGAGGGGGGAAAAATACGGGCGATTTTTTGGGGAGGAAGGTGTGGTTGGTTGACTTGACACAGGCGGGAGGGAGATTTACTGGAGAAGGAAGATTGAAAAGAGACCCGATAAAGAAGTGGGGAAGAGTTGGAGAGAAGGGTTACAAGCAAGGTATGAATTCTTATTTCGCAAACCCGTCGCTCTCCTGCCATTTGTCCGGTGGTCAAGAGGTTCTGCCCAACGTTCCCCTGAACTCCACCACCTATGACACAGTGAGACATTTTTCGTCGTACGGCGCCGCTGTGACCCAGAATCGGATATATGCCCCTTTCTACTCCCCTCAGGAGAATGTGGTGTTCGGCTCCGGTAGGGCGCAGTACGAGTACGGATCCAACGTATTCCTCCAAGACAAGGACGTCCTGCCAAGCTGCAGGCAGACAAACATGGGACTCGGCTCGCAGAGCCACATTGCCCAGGAGTACAGTCTGGATCAGGGGAGGGCAGGAGCCCAGGAGCAGAAGAGCAACATCCCGATCTACCCGTGGATGCAGCGCATGAACTCACACAGCGGTGAGTTTTACTACGACCAAATAAATTAGGGAAATGGGCCAGTTTTACGATATGTCTTACCAAGAGAGTAAGTTACTTTTTATGGCCCCATAAAACATTACTGTATCTGCTCGATTTGTGAGATGGGCCTTAACATGTGCAAACAAACAGCTTTCATTTTAACACTACTGTGGTGGTAATAACTGGTGACTTGAGACAGAGAAATTGGATTAAGACGATTTAATAATTTTGCATTAAAAAATAAATATAAATATGCCCTCACTCTATCAGCTAAATTCCAAATCGCGTCTCCCTGCAGATTTAGATTAAACCACATGTTGTAAATCCTGATAAGTAATTCTATAATCAGGGAGTAAATTTTGTGCATTTTTACGTTGTGCTCCAGCAGGAGTGGGCTACGGGACGGACAGGCGCAGGGGACGTCAGATCTACTCTCGCTACCAAACGCTGGAACTGGAAAAGGAATTCCACTTCAACCGCTACCTGACCAGGCGCAGACGCATCGAGATCGCCAACGCGCTGTGCCTCACGGAGCGGCAAATCAAGATTTGGTTCCAGAACCGGCGCATGAAGTGGAAGAAGGAGAGCAACCTGACGTCCACGGTGACTGGAAGTGAACAGACAGGGGCTGCTCAGGAGGAGGAACGGAGTGGCAGCGCAGTGGAAGAAGGGAAGGATGAACACAAAAAAAAGGAATAACGGGGAAGCATAGCGCGCACGTGTGTGTGTGTGTGCATGGAAGTGGAGAGGAGAGGGGAGGGGGGGGTCACCTCATGACCATGAAAGTCCAACATAACTACCTAAAAAAAAAAAATCTATAAAGACTTGACTTCACTGCATGATGGTTATACCCGCTGCTCTTTATCTCATCTTGACCACAGCAGTTGTGGAGCACTAAATATTCAAAACATTATTCCATCCACAGTTTGATCTCTGTGACATCTGGAGCACTAAGGTGTTTGTTTTATCAATATTATAAATATCAATGTCTCACATGTATTGTGAAAATAATAATAACAATATTATTATTAATATTAATAATAATACAAACGAAGAAAAACAAGTATTATTTTCCTGGTATTTTTCCAAACACCAGGAAAAGTAAAAAGTAAAAAAAAAAAAAAAAAAAAAAAAAATCTGTATTTACCCACAGCCAATTCCTCACTGTGAACTCTTTGATCACCTCACCAAATACAGTGTTGGTTTGACTTTGCTCATGCACATGCACATTCCACGGCGTTCCAAGGAACACAATGCAAAACTAGTACTTGAACTGTCCACAGATTTAAAAAAGAAAAGAGAGACAAAAAAGATTCAAGTTGCACGGTTGACCCTCAAGCTTGTATATATATATAATAAAAGTAGCATAACAGCATATTATGCAAATTCCGCAAGAGCTGTGCATTTAGCCGCTTGGATTTTTGGCGCAGGACAACGTAAAAGAACAGCGCCACTTCTTCTTTGAATCATTTGACACCACATGCTCTTGTTTTTGTTGTGAGACAGATTTGTACACTAGTAATTCTTCACCCTTTGAGTGTTATGATTTTATGTTTGTTTTTTGTTTTTTTGTCATATTTGTGTATCAGTAAATAAAATCTTTGTAAAACTTGCATCCTTGTCTTGTCTTTGCTGTGCGCGTTACTCTGTTTGGGCGGACAAATGTGGCGTATCAGCCAGGTTTTACGAGTTGATCAGAGAAATGAAAGGGGTTTGCAAAGCTACAGCCCGTTCCAGAGGCACAGCAAGTTTTGCAATGATGCGGATTTGGAGGATTAGAAAGGAGTAGATTAGATAGATAGAAGTGGGGGTTTTTTAACGCAAACTTTGGTCTCTGTACGAGTAACGTTTAAATGTTGGGGGAGCACTGAAGAGTTTTGGGGAATCTATTATTATTATTATTATTATTATTATTATTATTATTATTATTATTATTATTATTATTATTATTATTATTATTATTATTATTATTATTATTATTATTATTATTATTATTATTGATGTTGTTGTAGTTAATATTGTAGTTTACGTTTATTAAACTGACAAGATTAATATACGATCAAACAGCTACTACTTTTTTTTGTAATAACAACAATAATAATTAATATTATTTTTACTTGTGACCTCGAAGCGAGTCCATGGCACACGTCCTGACACGTCCTGCTCCATTCCAGACACCAGATGACGCTCTTGTCTTACTGTCCTGCCTTTTTTTACGCTAAAGATCCCCCCCCCTCGCTTCGTCCCCAACAACCAAACAGCTCAAAGTTTACCGGACACGTTTCTCCTATTCATCAATATCCCCATTGAGTATCAAGCCAATTTATGACTGGCCAACACATGCACGTGATCGCATACAAATACCCCATATTTGGGCAGTGCGCTCCGGATCAAGAATTAAAAAAAGAGAGAAAAGATACCAAAGCCTACTCCACCTATAAATCCTGGATTATTTTTTCTTCTTCTTTAGGACAGACAGCTGTGAATTTTCCATTAGAGGCTACAAAGAAAAAGCAATGAGCAACAAAACACAGGAAATACCCGCAAGCCTCGCACCGCATGTAGTTTGAAAAGAAAGTGTTGGTGGGTAGAATTAGTTTTGAAATGAACTCTCATGTTGAGCGCTCCAGCTTTGGGCAAACACGGGAGACAACTTCTGCTAACAGCATGTTTACTTTCGATGGATCTGGGCGCACGTCCAGCCGTTATGAGGGTGTTAACGTGAACGGGATTTACTCCTGTCCCGTCCCCACGACCTCTGCGCATCGCGAGGAGATCAAAACTAGCCTGCGTGGCAGCACGGATCCTCCGCCCGGACCGCAAATAAGCATGCTCTCCAGCGGTTCACTCTTGGAGGCGAGCGGGCTCGAGTACGGACGAGGCACGGACAGAGACCCCGAGAGAGGCGTGAAACGCGGAGGCAACAGGAGCCAGGAGGGCGACCAAAACGCGGAAAGGGCTCAGACAGTGAAAAGAAACCCAAATATGCACCAGCGTCAGGACAGTGAACAGCGGCCGCAGATTTATCCCTGGATGACAAAACTGCACATGAGCCACGGTAAAGTTTACTTGTTTTATAAAAAAAAAAAAAGGCAAACAAAAAAATGCGAATTAGATGCTCGCTCTTAACGCAGCAACACTTGGTTTCGCTCGCTCCACTGTCCCTCTTGAGTTTTATAGGCCAAAAGCAGGAAATAATAAAAACTCGCGGTCATAAATTTTATGACAAAGGCATCTATTGCTCGTAAACCTGCTCTGTTACGGTGAAGGGGTGATCTGTGCTGTGATTTATGGTGAAATAATTGGATAAGAGAACAAAAATATGATAAAACGGCAAAAATAATAGTACAAATCCAGCTATATAATAGTAATTGTAGCGTTCTTGCTTCTCCTCTACATGCATTTGAATTTCCAGCATCCCCAAGGAGGGAAAATAATAATAATAATAATAATAATAATAAAACGCTTTAGCCTTTGATTGAACTCTGGGACACACCAGTGCCCTGACCCAATCGTGAACTCTTCACCTCTGAAAGATTTGAATAGACATGCTCCTTCTTCGTGGCTCCAAACCTATACTGGCAGACAATTCAGCTGCAAAGAAGATTGTAAACGCATTAGCTACAAAACAAGAACCAAGGACTGGCAAAGGAAACACGCAGCAGGAATGTTGGATGAATCTAAATATCCGGCGGCTATAGGCCTGTTGCGTTACATAGCAATGTTGTGCAAGTTTATAAATTACAAAACAGTTGGAAGACAGTTGCAACATTTTAAGTGCTTTTTTAAGCACCCATGTTGGTTTCGCTTACAGTGATCTTACGCTACGCTACTATTGTATAACTGTTGCAGACTTTACAGGGAGGCCCACAAACTGTTGTCTGATTTGTTACAGCTAAACAAGAGTCTATTGAGAATTTTTTCCCCTTCATATTTTAAACAATGAAAGTGGTTGCACAAATAAAATTGAGGTTTCATGACATCATACCAACTGTTTCTGTCCGGGTGATATTCTTTGAGTGAGCAAGTTCACTATTACATATGGCCTATATGAACATATATGCTTTCTATTTCACACTTTACATTACATGCCTAAAGCTCAATTAAATGCGAAAGTTTTGTGCAATATGATGTTCCTGAACGCTGACATATTTTAATACTGCTTCAGAATCGGAGGGTAAGCGCTCCAGGACCAGTTACACCCGCTACCAGACTCTGGAGCTGGAGAAAGAGTTTCACTTCAACCGCTACCTGAGCCGCCGAAGGCGCATAGAGATCGCCAACAGCCTGTGCCTAAACGAGAGGCAAATCAAAATCTGGTTCCAGAACAGAAGGATGAAGTGGAAGAAGGACTCAAAGATCAAAGTGAAGGAGTAAAAGAAAGAAAAGCAGCACTTTTTTTTTTGCACCTCCACACTTGCACATTAGAGTCGGAGTTGCCCGCCTGACCTTCGGATGAACCGCTATAAGGAGCAATGACATCATGACACGGTTCTGTGTGCTTCATCACCAATTATGTGTCACTTTCTGCGGTTTGGAACCTAATGTATTGAATATCGCTCACTATGATCAATCGGTTTACATTTCTAAATTAATTTGCTTGCTATGCGATGATAACCCCACTTTACGGTGAAAAAAACGCGAAGGTCTAGTGGGAGAAGGATCCTTCAAGGCGTTTGGTCCAGATTGCGCTTAAAAAAAAGCTGCACAACGTTATTCATTTTGGTTTATAGTATAGGATATTAAAAAAAGGGTAGTTACCGAGAGTTCTGGGGGTCATTTCCATCTTCTTTAGCGTGCTATTAAAAATTAAGGTCAGTGAGCAAGAAAAATAAAATTAGTTAAAAAAAGTATTTGTCCTCTTGTTTTCTTTTGAGAAATCAGGATTTGTTGAAGGTATGATGTGTCTGTGATCGGTTTGTCATTCATGCTGTCTGTCATAACCTTGTGATTGTGTATGATAACACTGTAATGTGCAATGAAGCTACGTCTGTTTCCCTTAGTAAACTAAAGGTGCCTGGTACACACAAGGCCTGCTTGATGGCCAATTTGTTGATTGTAAACAATAAAGTCGTTAAAAAAACAACTACTTTTACTCTGAGTTATTTTTCTCTTCATATTCGGGACCCATTGCAGGAAAAAAAATATACAATAACAAGGTGCATCTTAGAATAATTTTCTTGCATTTTTGCCCGCTAAATAAAACTGTACTTATGTATTTTCACAATGCAATTTCCTTTGTTTTGTCAGGCTTTCTCGGGTCCCCCAAATTTCTCAGGCTGACAAACACGCTCTAAAGTTTAAGGCCCCCCCTCATAAAACTTTATTGCCCGCTTTTTCCAGCACTCCACAGGCACACTCAGCTTCCTGTTTTGTCAGGGGATGAGGAAGGGCCACACCAGCCTGTTAGAACAACACAAAGGTGGACGCAAAGCTTCGGCTTCCTGTGGCCGCACACTGACGCGTCATTTTCTGTAAAGGGGGCCATATGGTCAGATTTGTTTCAGCCCCTGGTCTCGTTAGATTGTTGTTAAAACGCCACTTTGCAGCATTGGTCGTCTCAATTCAAGCCCAAGGTTATGAGGTAATTCCCTTCTTCACTTAGAGCAAATAAAAAAAAAAGTCAACTCACCTCTCAAACTAACCGCCTCCCATATGATCTCCCCTTATTTCAACCGGTCAACTGCAGCGTCCACTTTCCCTGTGCTGTGTTGGGGCCTATAAACATAAACGCAAGAGCTTGCATTCAAGTCTTTCTTTTTGGGGATTTTAAAGTTTACAAGGTTACATATGCCAATTGCCCCAAGCAGGGCCTGTGAATGGTGCGTGGGAAGCACGTGGTGTCGTTTAAGTGGGTTTTATGGCCTGGAAGAGCTGACAAACCTTCGATATATACACATCATATATAATCTTAACTGTCCGGAATCGCAGCTGCTGGCTTCCCCCTTATCGGAGGAGGAAAGGGCTTTGTGGTGGTGGCGGAGGACGCAGTACCTTTCTCCGGACTGTAGAGCAGAGCGGAACGGCGCGGAGGTGTGAGACCTGCTGCTTCTGCAGTAAGTTGCTTTAACTTTAAATACTTGCCTGCGTCTGTGCTGTCTTAAAATAGTTTTTTTTTCCTCCCCTGTATGATGGATTGACTCTGAATGCACGGGTTAACTATAAACCTAATTAAGTTTATAATTATTGAGCTACGTTTCTGCAAAGGGTTTAGAAATGCTCTTCTGTTTATCTGTAACAAACAGAATTAAGCATTTAATGTCTAAATTTGTAAATCACGCTGGTGATCTTAAAGCTGGCTTAAATAGGGCTGCAGCAGTTTATTTACAGTTGTAAATCCCCACCGTAAAAATAAATAGAGATAGTAATAAAAGTTTCAAGAGAAACACAGTAGTGTTAAGCAAAAAAAAAAAGAAAAAAAAAGACTCAAACTCTTCTCCCCACTCACTCCTCAACCAATCCTGCAATTTGCAAAGAAAAAAACATTTTGGTTAAATTCTACCTAAAAGTCTTGTAGCTTTGACTATTTGAAGAAAGTGCTGCGAATAAAAGACGGGTTTGTTTTCAATTCAGATTTTATTTTAAGAGCTAAAAAGCCTCTATTAGTCAATGTCAACAATTGTCAAGGATCTCTCTTGTGTCTCACCTCTGCATTAAAATTGGACCAACTTCAGCACATCGGCATACAACTAATAATAATAATAATAAATGTTTGACTGTTAGTTTTACTCTTTGCTGAAAAAAAACAGCGCAAACTGCTATAAATAATTTCTCCAATTCAAGTAACTATTTTGAAGTCAGAAATATTACGCTATAGTCAAGAACAGCAGCCTATATGATTTCAGGGTCGAGTATAGTGTCTATTATTATTATTATTATTATTATTATTATTATTATTGTAAGGTCATCTTTTTAAAAAATATACAATAACATGATGCTAGCATATTATAAAGAACAGTGGAGAATACAAGTGTTTACAGTAAAAGAAACGATCAAAACATTTATGCGACTTCTTTTGTTTTCCACCTTGACACTGCGGTCTTCGCAGTGTTTGTGGTTACGATCTGTCGTCATCGTGGTTTCATGGCCATTTTCTGACCATGCCGACCTGCGGATCTTATCTTGTGTGACACATTTTGACTGTGAAGTGAAGATTGGATAAATATTTGCGCATTTCACACCGTTTGTGTCCTCATGGATATCAGCAGATATATCCAGTTTGCTTTACTTGGAGACTAATGAGCCAATGACATCTTATGACCTCAATAGTTTTCTGTTGCTCAGCTGGAGACATCATTTAATCACCCATATGCCTAAGCAAACAGCTCCGCCTACAGAAACAGTTCACTACTCCTAATCAATGTGTGGAGGTGCAATTATTTTTGATATTAAAGCTCGGATTGATGGGTTTTCCCCAAGGTGCAATGGCCGCCACTACTTTCTCCGGTTCTTTTTGGTTGCTTTTGTCTTGAATGTATTACGCTGCCTGTACTTGGTATACCACGTTTCCAATCCTAAGGTATGGACTTTGTTTCCAGGTGTAGAAGATCAATCACAGACTTTCAATAGGGGGCACTGTGTAACATACTCCTGTATGAGTGATGCACTCCGGAGGGTGACTAATTTTATTTATTTATTTTTTTTCAAGTGCTCTCTTTATTTTTAGAAACATTTTGCTATAATTCAGAGAGGAAACTATCAGGAATTCCAGACTAAATGCTTTTATCAGTAAAAGGAAACATATAAAAATGATTTCCTGTTTTCTTAACAGGAATACTGACATGCGCATTTGTACACCTGCAATGCACGTGCTGCATTTTGACCTTTTATCCTGTAAGATGCTTGAATAAACTCCTCAGAGGTGCTCATAACAACTCAAAAACTTTATTCCAAAAGTGAAACCATCCCAAACATCCGATTTCACTGTCATGTTCTGCGCTCGTGTATTCCTTTCTCTGACCTATGGAGCTGACACTGCCATCTTTCAACCCGCAGAGGTCATTTCCGGGTGAGCATAGACTTCCCTTTGTCTGGGGCTCGAACAAGAGGCAGAGATCTTCGTTGCACAGTTTCCGAACATGAACTGATTTTATTTACAATGTGAAGACAAAGTCGTGACTCTATTTTATTGACTGTTCGCCATAATTCACAGGCGCTGAAGTCTAGGGACTTCTATTCATAGTAGCTCTTGCCCAAGGAAATACCAAATTGCTTGTAAATTTAGTTTTATCGTCTGAAAACGATCTGTCTTAAATTCCTTCCACTGTCTCTGTTCTGCAGGCGCTCAAACATTTCATATTTTCCGTACAGTCTCCCTCCAGGAATGCGTGATTATCAGGCCAAAAATATTATTAAGATAAGAATAACAAGAGTGAAAAAAAAACACTTCGTTCTTTTTTGGGGCGAAAAAATTGGAAAATGAACCTGTTATGTTTTAGTTGTTATATTTTACTTTTATTCTCGTTCATTCCGCTGGTTTTTATTTTCAGGAATGTCATTACTTGTGGTTAATCTTGTAATATACCACAAATAACCCATGCTTTTCAATGTGTCACATTTACATATGTAAATTTACACGGAACTTACTAAGTGTATTTAACTTTAAAAATATTTATTCCACAACGTGGAACAGAAATTGATATTTTTTATGTCTCATATTTACCATTTTTGAAGAGAAATTACTATTACTTGGATGGTAATAATTTCTTCTGCTTATATGCAATTTATAACTCAATCTTTCAAAATATCCATGGAACCATTTAAAGATTTTAAAAAGATTTATATATATAT